TAGTAGACACCGGAGCCACAATCAGCGTATTGACCAAGGAAATAGTGGACACCATCATAAAAAAGGATCCCACTATTCCACAACTTCCAATAAATGGTATAAGAATCAGTAATGCCATAGGAAAACAGATATGCAAAATATCAAAACAAATATTTTGTAAATGTCAACTCAGCCAAGCGGTAATACACGCTAACTTTATTCAAGTGGAAGGACTGAATGAAAAAGGGATCATTGGAGCAGATATATTGAACCAACACAACGCCCAGATCAACTTCAGCAGTCATACCGTACAACTAGAAGTAGGTCACATAATCTACTCAGTACCATTTTCAAAACAAATGCCCAAACCAATATCACAGAGTGTCAGCATAAGGGAAATTACGCTATCAGAACGAAATGATGAAGACAACTCAATTATCGTTAGTCAAGACGAGCAAGAAATCAATCACGAAGGAATCATTGAAGTAGTCAGGAAAAAATTAAGAACTAGAGCCGACGCAAGGAACCGCGTCAAAGATCAGGCAAAGAAGTTCATCCAATACCAAGTTGGCCAGCAAGTGCTAGTCAAAGAACACAAATTATCATCAGGTGAAGATAATGAAATTCATAAATTCTTCTTACTATACCGGGGACCCTACACCCTGGTACAGATAAGGGACAACAATACAGTACTCGTAGAAGATTCAAGGGGACAAACAATGCGATACAACGTCAAAAACGTCAAACCGTATCACTCATTGCCAAGGAAAGACGAAGACTTGTGTTTCCCTCCTGATCCAGGAAAATCCTGCGATCCATTCCTCTCTTTTCCTAATTAAATAAAATTAAGTATTTGTGGTGACCATGACTTTTCCAATTAGGCCCATCACCAGCCGGAGAAATCATGAGCGCTAACACATTCCAGCTCCTGTCCGAAGACTATACCGATGAAGAATTCCTCGAGTTATTTGGCAGTGAGTATTTAACTCTGGACAGCGAATATCAAGCTTCCATACAGCAAATGGCAGCAATCAAATCACCCGTCGAACAAAAAAAGGAACAAGCACGATATGAACGGGAAAGTGCTGCTAAACTGACGAGGTATTCACTAACACCTACGTTCACAATGCCAAGCACCGTCCGTGCTATACCAACTACGTTAGACGTTCTATCCACAACCACATCTCTCTCGTCAATCGAAACTCCGCCCGTCGAACATGTCACCAAAATAAGTAACAAGAAACTGAAGCGTGAACAGTACCGATTAGCGCGACAAGAAATACGACGGCAACGTCGTCCTGGCAATGGAGCGTCATCATCAGCCACTACGTCAATTCAAGAGTAAAAAAAAAAAAAAAAAAAAAAAAAATAAACCTGGTTTTATTCAATCAAAATTTAAGAAAAAAATCACCTCTGTCTCTTTACAAAATAAAAGTTTTTATTCATAAATTTCTACATTTCCTCTCAAAATTAATAAATAAAAAAGGGGACTATGTAACGAGACAGAACCGTCCATATCATGATATTCATGAACGACGCGCTACCCGTCGACAAAGTAAGAACTAAAATGTAGTATTCTGTTCAAAACTGCATGCCTGAAAAACGCACTAGATGTCGCGGTACGCGCAGTCCTTTTAGTACGGTGCGTACCAGCGACATTTAAACCTTTAAAACTACTAACTAACACCAATGTAAGTAGTATAACATGTACCGTCACATGGTAGGAGTCGAGCACAGCCCGAACGATACCATAAAAATCAAAACCTACCGACAAATACCACCATGAGGTTGTATGAGTAAGTCAACAATATACCATGCAGCAGTCACCAGGGTATGTAGTAAATAGACCCCGGTGAAGTCACCAAAAACAACAGTCATCCGTCCGACCGCATACGCTTTTCGTATTGTGTCTGGAGCTCATCTCGAGTTCAAACAGCATTATACCGCCGCCGTCTACCCGTCGTTGTGTCTGGTGCCCACCTTGGGTACAAACAGCGCAAACGGGTATCGAGTTTCGCTTCGCCTTTACGACACTATAGTCCGCCGTCATCCGTCCGTCATAGTGTACCGTTAAAACTCTCTTCTGTATCTGGGGCCTCTTCAGGTCCAAACAGCATACAGAATAGACTCGTCGTTAGTTTCCCCCCCGTAAATCGCCGTTACCGTCGTGGACGCCGAGCCATCGCCGCCGCCGCCCGACCTAGTATCCGCACACCCACACTTGTACCTGGGGCCTAAATTAATAGGTCCACACAGTGCAACTGTGAGTATCCCCCCGTAAATCGCCGTTACCGTCGTGGACGCCGAGCCATCGCCGCCGCCGCCCGACCTAGTATCCGCACACCCACACTTGTACCTGGGGCCTAAATTAATAGGTCCACACAGTGCAACTGTGAGTATCCCCCCGTAAATCGCCGTTACCGTCGTGGACGCCGAGCCATCGCCGCCGCCGCCCGACCTAGTATCCGCACACCCACACTTGTACCTGGGGCCTAAATTAATAGGTCCACACAGTGCAACTGTGAGTATCCCCCCGTAAATCGCCGTTACCGTCGTGGACGCCGAGCCATCGCCGCCGCCGCCCGACCTAGTATCCGCACACCCACACTTGTACCTGGGGCCTAAATTAATAGTATCCACACAGTGCAACTGTGAGTATCCCCCCGTAAATCGCCGTTATCGTCGTGGACGCCGAGCCATCGCCGCCGCCGCCCGACCTAGTATCCGCACACCCACACTTGTACCTGGGGCCTAAATTAATAGGTCCACACAGTGCAACTGTGAGTACCCCCCCGTAAATCGCCGTTACCGTCGTGGACGCCGAGCCATCGCCGCCGCCGCCCGACCTAGTATCCACACACTCACACAGTACAATTGCAAATATTAAGATACCGCCGTTATACGAGACCGTCGCCGCCAAAACGTTGCCGTCCGTATTGAATACCGCTGTATCAGATTAACGATCATTATATAATATTACGCACCGTCGTAAGTAGGTACCAACACGAAATCGCAGCATTAAATAACGTGGCCGCCGCACACCTATTTGGATACCCGCATAAGTGTCACCGCTGTCGAAACGCCGCCGATACACAGTTCACCATCGTCAATAGTACCTACAGACTCGTCGCCGTGAACAGACCGGACACCGTATATAGCAACCAGCCAACTACTATCACATTAAGTAACATTCAAACAAACCGTGAGTCCGAATATAATAAAATTATAGAAACATTATTCCTTGTTACATGTATTTTTAAATGTACATCGTGTTAAACGATTTGAATAAAAAAACAAAAAGAAAATATTGTACAAATAAATAACACAATATATTTCAATAAACTGTTAATAATTTGTTGAACCACAAAACCTTGTATCAGCGTTCAATCATTTTTATTACAATGGCGCCCAACTACAAGGCTCGATAAAGAAGAAAATTCTACCTCGAACCCCAAGACTTACAAGTGAAAATTTTCTACGTCGGTAAAAAGAGAAGAAAACTACATCTGTAAAAAAAAAAAAAAATGCCGCCGAGGAAAAACATCACCGAAGAAACGTTCCGAACTTTCCAACGCGAAGTAGAACACAACAGTCAATATTTAGTCAATCAGTTATTAGAAAAAATTAATAAACTCGAAGAAAAATGTAATAATATTGAAGAACAATACAAAATTGATATTGAAAAAAATAATGAAGACCATTTCAGAGATATGCGAAATTTAGAACAACAAAATCTCAATAACATAGAAAACTTAAGAAAAATGTTCATCGATCAAAAACAAAGTACACAGGTAATCAACGACGATCGAAGAAATTCAAATATCGAAATATCAAAACCGACATTCCACGCCAACAGTAAAGACCCGCACCCCATAGAGTTTTTACAAAATTTGGAAGAATATTTTAAAGTGAAACAAATGAACCGAGAAGAAAGGTTGATTATTATACGCGACTGTTTGAAAAATGCAGCCAGTAATTGGTACTCAACAATCAAATTTCAAATACGGGATTATGCAGATTTCCGAGATGCATTTATCGACGAGTTTTGGTCAAGGCAAATACAAATCCAAACATGGAGTAATTGTCTCAACACCACACAGATACCGGACAATGTCACATACCGGGAACATTTCTCGCAGTGGGCATCAAAGTTACGTCACTTGCAAGTACCTGAACTTTCAGAGGAAGAGATTGTAAGTAACATTGCCAACCATTATCCTGGTTATCTCCGAGCAATACTAGTATCTTTACCAGACAAATCAGTAATAAATGCAATGAAGGTACTAGGTACTGAAGAAAGCCGTCGGGATAAGCCGACATCATCAACAACAGAAAATAACACTGTGAAAAACAACAACAATCAAAATAACAACACCTGGAGTCACCGAGTTCCACAAAATGACTGGAGTCACCGACCACAACAGCGGGGCAACAATCAGCCACGAAACAACCGTTGGAACAATCGCGATGAAAATCCACAACAACCACAACAATCACAACAATCACAACAATCACAACAACCACAACAACCACGTGACACCCGACAACAAATCAATCAAGTCGTGTCCAGTGCCACCAATGACGTCAGCGAAACTTCGCATCAAATCAACAAAATACAGAGTAAGGAGGAATCTTACAGCCCATACATAAAATGTGTTATTGAAGGTGAGGAGGTGGAACTATTAGTAGACACCGGAGCCACAATCAGCGTATTGACCAAGGAAATAGTGGACACCATCATAAAAAAGGATCCCACTATTCCACAACTTCCAATAAATGGTATAAGAATCAGTAATGCCATAGGAAAACAGATATGCAAAATATCAAAACAAATATTTTGTAAATGTCAACTCAGCCAAGCGGTAATACACGCTAACTTTATTCAAGTGGAAGGACTGAATGAAAAAGGGATCATTGGAGCAGATATATTGAACCAACACAACGCCCAGATCAACTTCAGCAGTCATACCGTACAACTAGAAGTAGGTCACATAATCTACTCAGTACCATTTTCAAAACAAATGCCCAAACCAATATCACAGAGTGTCAGCATAAGGGAAATTACGCTATCAGAACGAAATGATGAAGACAACTCAATTATCGTTAGTCAAGACGAGCAAGAAATCAATCACGAAGGAATCATTGAAGTAGTCAGGAAAAAATTAAGAACTAGAGCCGACGCAAGGAACCGCGTCAAAGATCAGGCAAAGAAGTTCATCCAATACCAAGTTGGCCAGCAAGTGCTAGTCAAAGAACACAAATTATCATCAGGTGAAGATAATGAAATTCATAAATTCTTCTTACTATACCGGGGACCCTACACCCTGGTACAGATAAGGGACAACAATACAGTACTCGTAGAAGATTCAAGGGGACAAACAATGCGATACAACGTCAAAAACGTCAAACCGTATCACTCATTGCCAAGGAAAGACGAAGACTTGTGTTTCCCTCCTGATCCAGGAAAATCCTGCGATCCATTCCTCTCTTTTCCTAATTAAATAAAATTAAGTATTTGTGGTGACCATGACTTTTCCAATTAGGCCCATCACCAGCCGGAGAAATCATGAGCGCTAACACATTCCAGCTCCTGTCCGAAGACTATACCGATGAAGAATTCCTCGAGTTATTTGGCAGTGAGTATTTAACTCTGGACAGCGAATATCAAGCTTCCATACAGCAAATGGCAGCAATCAAATCACCCGTCGAACAAAAAAAGGAACAAGCACGATATGAACGGGAAAGTGCTGCTAAACTGACGAGGTATTCACTAACACCTACGTTCACAATGCCAAGCACCGTCCGTGCTATACCAACTACGTTAGACGTTCTATCCACAACCACATCTCTCTCGTCAATCGAAACTCCGCCCGTCGAACATGTCACCAAAATAAGTAACAAGAAACTGAAGCGTGAACAGTACCGATTAGCGCGACAAGAAATACGACGGCAACGTCGTCCTGGCAATGGAGCGTCATCATCAGCCACTACGTCAATTCAAGAGTAAAAAATAAAAAAAAAAAAAAATAAAATAAACCTGGTTTTATTCAATCAAAATTTAAGAAAAAAATCACCTCTGTCTCTTTACAAAATAAAAGTTTTTATTCATAAATTTCTACATTTCCTCTCAAAATTAATAAATAAAAAAGGGGACTATGTAACGAGACAGAACCGTCCATATCATGATATTCATGAACGACGCGCTACCCGTCGACAAAGTAAGAACTAAAATGTAGTATTCTGTTCAAAACTGCATGCCTGAAAAACGCACTAGATGTCGCGGTACGCGCAGTCCTTTTAGTACGGTGCGTACCAGCGACATTTAAACCTTTAAAACTACTAACTAACACCAATGTAAGTAGTATAACATGTACCGTCACATGGTAGGAGTCGAGCACAGCCCGAACGATACCATAAAAATCAAAACCTACCGACAAATACCACCATGAGGTTGTATGAGTAAGTCAACAATATACCATGCAGCAGTCACCAGGGTATGTAGTAAATAGACCCCGGTGAAGTCACCAAAAACAACAGTCATCCGTCCGACCGCATACGCTTTTCGTATTGTGTCTGGAGCTCATCTCGAGTTCAAACAGCATTATACCGCCGCCGTCTACCCGTCGTTGTGTCTGGTGCCCACCTTGGGTACAAACAGCGCAAACGGGTATCGAGTTTCGCTTCGCCTTTACGACACTATAGTCCGCCGTCATCCGTCCGTCATAGTGTACCGTTAAAACTCTCTTCTGTATCTGGGGCCTCTTCAGGTCCAAACAGCATACAGAATAGACTCGTCGTTAGTTTCCCCCCCGTAAATCGCCGTTACCGTCGTGGACGCCGAGCCATCGCCGCCGCCGCCCGACCTAGTATCCGCACACCCACACTTGTACCTGGGGCCTAAATTAATAGGTCCACACAGTGCAACTGTGAGTATCCCCCCGTAAATCGCCGTTACCGTCGTGGACGCCGAGCCATCGCCGCCGCCGCCCGACCTAGTATCCGCACACCCACACTTGTACCTGGGGCCTAAATTAATAGGTCCACACAGTGCAACTGTGAGTATCCCCCCGTAAATCGCCGTTACCGTCGTGGACGCCGAGCCATCGCCGCCGCCGCCCGACCTAGTATCCGCACACCCACACTTGTACCTGGGGCCTAAATTAATAGGTCCACACAGTGCAACTGTGAGTATCCCCCCGTAAATCGCCGTTACCGTCGTGGACGCCGAGCCATCGCCGCCGCCGCCCGACCTAGTATCCGCACACCCACACTTGTACCTGGGGCCTAAATTAATAGGTCCACACAGTGCAACTGTGAGTATCCCCCCGTAAATCGCCGTTACCGTCGTGGACGCCGAGCCATCGCCGCCGCCGCCCGACCTAGTATCCGCACACCCACACTTGTACCTGGGGCCTAAATTAATAGGTCCACACAGTGCAACTGTGAGTATCCCCCCGTAAATCGCCGTTACCGTCGTGGACGCCGAGCCATCGCCGCCGCCGCCCGACCTAGTATCCGCACACCCACACTTGTACCTGGGGCCTAAATTAATAGGTCCACACAGTGCAACTGTGAGTATCCCCCCGTAAATCGCCGTTACCGTCGTGGACGCCGAGCCATCGCCGCCGCCGCCCGACCTAGTATCCACACACTCACACAGTACAATTGCAAATATTAAGATACCGCCGTTATACGAGACCGTCGCCGCCAAAACGTTGCCGTCCGTATTGAATACCGCTGTATCAGATTAACGATCATTATATAATATTACGCACCGTCGTAAGTAGGTACCAACACGAAATCGCAGCATTAAATAACGTGGCCGCCGCACACCTATTTGGATACCCGCATAAGTGTCACCGCTGTCGAAACGCCGCCGATACACAGTTCACCATCGTCAATAGTACCTACAGACTCGTCGCCGTGAACAGACCGGACACCGTATATAGCAACCAGCCAACTACTATCACATTAAGTAACATTCAAACAAACCGTGAGTCCGAATATAATAAAATTATAGAAACATTATTCCTTGTTACATGTATTTTTAAATGTACATCGTGTTAAACGATTTGAATAAAAAAACAAAAAGAAAATATTGTACAAATAAATAACACAATATATTTCAATAAACTGTTAATAATTTGTTGAACCACAAAACCTTGTATCAGCGTTCAATCATTTTTATTACAACTATTATAGGCATATATGTTAACTTAGTAAAGGATTACCATTTGAGATTTGGTTTTCCGGTGTAGTTTACAATTGTGACGATATTGAAAACGTGCTCTCCAAGTTTCTAAAAACCATTTTTAAAGATTATATCTCAAAATCCCAGGAGACTCGTGCACGTTCAATTTTGCAGTAGGCTAACACTTTCCTTGTTTAGTGAAAAAAATAAATTTACATAGTATAATAATTCTTTAATAACACGAAATAAGTTTTATTTATACAAAGGATAAGTAATTAATTTATAAAAAATGCCTTTGTGAGAATGCCAAGTGTGAATGAATACCGAATAATGTATAGGTACCATAAATTCAATTTTTATAGAATATAATGCATAGCTCAAAACAACTGTATATTATAACCCTATCTTTTCAGTTTTAAAAAAAATACAATTAATTAACGAATTACGAAATACAATAAAACGTTTGTATTTGACACAACATTTAACAAATATGATGACATATGTTATATGTATTACACGAGGATCCACAGATTTAAAGTGTATGGTTACCGAATATAATTAATAATAATTAAAACAGTATCTATAAATTATTATAGTTATACCTAATTTATAATTAGTAACGACTAACGACACTTACAAAATGTATGTTTTTTTAATTTTTTTTAACCATTTAAAGAAAGTAAGCAGGTATAATTATACATTTAACAGTATAAATCTTAATTTTATACGAGGGAGGATAAATTATGTAAGTAATGATCCCCTTAAATCTATCCTCTTTCTACATACCTACATACAAATTATATATTATAATATGTTCCATTTCCACTTATGTTTACCTATATTGACTATCATGATTTTTTCAAAGTACAATAGTAAATCATTTTAATTGTTTTTATTTAATCATAGTTTATAATGACAGACTATTCATTAAAATTGTCATTGTTTTCGTTTCATTAAGTTTTGGAATTGTTTTGAAAATATATGAGATGATACAATTTAGTGTTAACTAGAAAGGTTTTGTAAAATTTCTCACTATGTATTTCTTGTTTATCATAATTTTAATTAAACAACAATACACATATATTTTTTTTAATAAACCTTAGCAAAATTAAATTATAATTATAAATCTTATTAAATTATACAACAAATAACTTAACGTCTACTAAATTAGTTTCTTTAATATTTTGAAATATTTATATTATGAATGCATCCAAATTGAATTATTATTAATTTATTTTTATTTTTATTTTTTACTGATGAAAAATTAAAATAAAATATTACACGAGTATTCGACAAGAAGCCTATTTTCTTAAAAAAAAAATGATGTTGCTTAAACATTTTTTCATTCATTAATCATTTACAAACAAATTCTAAAATTTAATCATTTAAATTATTTATTTAATACGTATTATTGACAGAATAAATTGTTTGATTTAAAATGTATGCAATTCAATTTTTAAACCAATAAGTGATAAGAAATAACCGAAACTGCAAATATAAGTGTCTTTAATTCAAATTAAGAACTTGAATTGATAATATAGAATACATGGATTAGTTTTAAGAAAAACATTAGACTTATTTAAAAACGTACATTTTAACTTAGATTTTAATATCATTGGAAAAGTTTTGTTCAACATATTCTATAAATAAGTGGAACATTAAGGGAAAAATGAATTATTTTTAAACGTTTTAAATCATATATTAGGTAATCCTAACTCTATGAAAGTTTTTTTTTTTTTTTTTAAATCAAATAATAGCGAAAATCACATGCTTGTACATTATTATTTATAGGTACTTACCTATACCTATTGTTAATAAATTAAATATTTCAATTCAGAACAATTGAAAAGAAAACTTTTAATGTCCCCGGAGATCCTATGTCCTATATAGTATAAAGGTTGTGTATATATGGTTCATTTGTGACATTTTATAACTGAATTAACCGATATGGACTAGGTAGGTACATAAGTGATTAATGGCATCCGTATATGTTTAACTAATTAACACGCTCACTCGCACAGACACACATCATAGTCTAATAGTATGTCTAACTAGAAAAATGTAATGTATAGTTTATTTTATACTTAAGAATCATAACCATAAGTATAAAAATATAGGGGGAAAAAATTCAGAAGTCATCAAACCCATCTCCAGTTATGAATAATTCAATGATTTTATACCTTAGCATTCGAGAGTAGTTAGGAAAACTGGAAAACGATTGAATAGTTGAAGTAATAAGTAATAAGCATTAGTCATGTTTTAAAGTATTTATTTTTAATATAAAATATGTATCTATGAGAATAGAGTAGGTACCTATTTTAAAATTACCTAGTTTTAAACAATATAATCCCAATAGTAGAAGATTAATGAAAATCTTTTGATATAATTAAGATTATGATTTATGAGGTTAAAACCTAACAAAATTGAATGGAACTAGACGAAGACTTTTGAAAGCTAGTAATATTATTGTTCAATATAAATTGTCTTCAAAATTAAAATTGGCTAATTTTATTTATTATTTTTATAATTGTGACATTATATTATCTAAAAGTGCCTAATTATTACTGTTGTTCTAACAAACAGTTAACGTAAAAAAACCAAACAGTATTATTAATGTTATCCCTATATAATTTAACGTCAATATCTTATATACAAAGAAGATACTACTAACATTTTTAATTTTAATGCAATATCTTCTGCCTAAGGTTATAATTAAGATTATGGTTTATTTCAATTTAAGGACAAAAAAGCATTAATTGTAATTTGTATTGTATGATTTCCACAATATTCTAGTAAAGTAGAAAATAAATTAATGCAATTTTGTTTAATTTAATAAAATTATAAATCGTTGGTCTTATGAAAAGTTAGTCATTTTATTTTAATAAACCAATATCGTAGGCACGAAATCATAACCGATTTTCTTTAATTTAATATTCGTTCTTTATTAAAAGTACGAAACATTTTTTCTGGTTGATACAAATTATAATATTATATTCATTCTACCACAGAATGTTTTATCAACAATATTAATTATTATTTAAATAATAATTATTCTGAAAACCACAATAACTTACTATATCTATATAGTATATTATAATACTACTTATATACTCTTAACAGAGCGAATAATAAGTTTCTGAAACTGTCATAAACTGTGATGGTTCCAAAACTTTTTACTAGTTAAAACTTAATTATTTTATTTTATATTATATTTATTCACTTTATTATTTATTAGAAATTTTGTTTTATTTTTTTATTATTTTATATCATGGCGTGTATCACTTGTGTTTTTAACTGGAATAATACTAAACATAAATTACATTTAGGTATACTATATGCCAACTCAATAACAGTCCACAAATGTTTTACCCATGTGCATTATTCAAAATAAATATAAAAGTACAACATCGCTATAAAATATATTTTATGTGAGTTATATACACTGATAAAGTGATGAATTATCTTCATAGAAAAATAAATTAAATTCTAGTTTGTCATCGATTTTTTTCAGTTTTTGTAATATTAAACTTTGATTAATATATCACAAATTCACAATTTAAAATACTACCTAGGTAATAAATAACAAAAAATCTTTCCAAGTAACTGTACAAACAAAAGTATCTCAAATTTTAAAAAGAAATAATTTCAAATATTCTTGACACACTTTTACATTTTAATACTTTTAATGTGTAGGTAACAAAAACATTACAATTTTATTTTTAATTATTACAATATTCTTAATTAGGAGGTACCTATTGATAATGCACAGTATAATTGTATTTGTTTTAGTAACTGTATATTTAAACTTAAATGTTGTATAGTTATTACAATATTAATTCCTCAATCGTATAAACTTGTAGCTACTTTAAGAAAACTCAGATAGAATAATATAAATAATGTGTATACTTACTTATTACGAAAAGAAAGATATTAATTATTTTAACATCATTGTATACTTTCCCAAGAACAAGTTGTCTCATAAAAAAATAAGTAAAGCTTCTAGGGTTTGTAGAGGGGAAAAATTCAGGAACAATAAATCTAATTGATAACAATAATTGTTTTCACAATTAAAAAAAAATTAATATAAATACTTTTGAGGCTATAAAGAAAACAAAGAGTCGTTATCTCCTTTGTCATGTGTCAACTAAATAACGTTATGGTTTTGGGATAAAAAAATGATATGAAATTTATATTTTTTTTAACGGGGCGAAGTATCAGGAAACACGTATATGAAAAACGTATTGTAATTTGTATGAGCTTTTATGAAAAAAAAACCAAATAAAACACAAAAAAAAAACTCATACACGCATAATATTCTACATATTATATTATACTATACCTACAATACCTACCTACTCGTATATCATATTACTGTATTGGATGTGTGGGAGGCTGTAAATAATGTGCGTTTTTATATTGTAATCGTGAACTAATTTCGAAATAATTGGCTTAAAGGACTTTTGTTGTCAAAAACGAAAAAAATAAACGAAACTAATACGCGCAATATTGCAATAAACTTAACACATTAATTACAATTAAAAACGCAATTCTTTCGAAGGAATTATTTCGTTGACATTTTTAAGCTCCGAGTGCAAAATTGTTTTGTTTTTGTCTATAATATTTCATATTTTAATACATAATATTTGGTAAGCGCCTGCAGCACCTATAATATTATTTAACTAATAATATTTATTGTTAATCGGTTATTAAATGTAGGTACCCTATGCGTGCTGTTTTTGATTAATTATTTTATACGATAAGAATAAATAATAGTTTACGTTTTGTCTCCTTGATAATTACCGATTTATAATTATAATTATTACAAAATCGTAACACGTTGTTTTAATGCGTTTTTTAAATATTAAATCGTCGTTTCACGGTTTCGTACGACAATCCGATTGTCCGTGTACAACACTGGCCATAATAACATCGTAACAATGCTGCCGTTGTTGTTGTTGTTATTATTTTTATTATAAAAACTACCCTCTGGCCAACGCCATCTAGTGACGGCAACTGCGCTCCAATGAATCGATGTTCGTACCCCTCGTCAGTGTAAGCTCGGCCAACAAAACTGCACGCATGTGTTTCGCTCCGTTCCGTCGGGAAATTGTCGTCGATCTTTGGGCGAGATTTTAAAAGCGCACATAAAATCAAAATGGTAAGTACAAAAATAATATATTAATTTTCGAAGGCACAAATTCAGCTGTTTTGTTCAAAAATATCGAAAGAGTTCGTCGAGAAAGTGATATATTTTTTTTTTTTGCTACGAAAGGTGAACTTTACAATATTTTTATCTCGATCGAGGTATTTACGGATTTGTTTCGATTGTTATTTATTTATTAATAGTGAAAATTAAAGATCACGATGAAACATCAATCATTTTAAACTGATTTTTAATTATAATATCGGTGCATGCGAGTGTGCGTGTACCAGGTGGTTGTGTATTTATTATTAAATACATATCAGTTTATACTTCCTTTTATTAATTACATATTATTTTATTTTAGTACGGATTCGTGAATTACGCTTTGGAGCTGCTCGTGTTGAAAACATTTGGCGAAGAGACGTGGGAAAAAATCAAGTGAGTACTACATAATATTATTATAAAACAAAACGTGAAATGCTGCAGTAGATTATTAATTATTTGTTTCAATCAATTCGTAAACACTTAAAATATTGTATGCTTACAGAAAGGATGCAGAGGTTACGATGGATGGTCAGTTTTTGGTCAGACAAATTTATGATGACGAAATTACATACAATCTGGTGTCGTCGGCCGCACAAATTCTCGGTAAATATAATTGTTATTCGATATGTTTTAGTTTACATAAATTTTATCTCCTAAGCTATATGGTTAAAAAAAAACCACATACGTGTGATACTAGGTAGGTATATGCTATAATCTACTAGAAATAACAATAACAATATACCTATAGGTATTTATGTCTCGTTGTTTTTCTTTTTTTTTTTAACTAAACATACTTTTGTTTATTTTATTTACTATACATTGAAATATATTCAAAGACAAATTATAAGAATGAAATAATTCGGACTGTTAAATAAAACTAAGTTACATAAAATGTATGATTGAAAATAGATGATTTTAGTTTTAATAAAAAAAAAATTTTCGATTACGCGAGATATAAACGTCAGTGTACGGCGATCATATACTTAGGTTGTTCAGTGTAAAGCAATTTAAATAAATAAACAATATAAGGTACCTACGGCATTTTTTACGGTGCATTAAGGAAGTGAACATAATATATACAAATACATTTATATTTATTATACAGAATTCAATTTGGAAAAAAGCGCGTATTATAATAATATTATCCACGGGACTCGTTTTAACTCTTACACTGATCATAATAAAAAAATAAAATAAAAAAAGACCTCGCGTAATAATTTATGTCCAATATATGTTAATGAGCCCAGATATTAAGTGTTATATAATTTCGTGTGTTTATGCATTAGAACTGCCCGCGAGTAGCATATTAGAACTGTTCGGGAAGATGTTTTTCGAGTTTTGCCAGGATTCCGGTTACGATAAAATCCTACAGGTGCTTGGAGCCACACCCCGGGACTTTCTTCAAGTACGCATTGTTCGAGTTACATCCTTTGAGCAATACGATAACTGTTATCACCCTCTGTTTTTGTAGAATCTGGACGCTTTGCACGATCACTTGGGCACACTGTATCCGGGCATGAGAGCACCGTCTTTCCGGTGCACGGAAAGGACAGAGGACGGCGCGCTCGTCTTGCACTACTATTCCGACCGTCCCGGGTTGGAGTACATTGTCATCGGCATTGTGAAGGTTGTAAAAACAATATTTTACGACCGACAATAACGAAACGACATAGTGCATATGACGTGTCGTGGTTTTGATATTATGTTATAATATATTATATTGTTTTATGTATGTTTGTATATGTGTCTTCCAGACCGTCGCCAGAAAACTTCATAACACCGAGGTGGAAGTTGAGATATTACAAACTAAAGAGGAATGTGATCATGTGCAGTTCTTAATAACCGAAAAGAATACCACGGGTCAACGTCAGAGCGATCAAACAGCCGAAGTCGAGACACTATCGCAAGGTCATCACCACAAATAATTTTTTTCCTTCACTAAATCACAAAAATATATGTAAAAAAATATTGTATACTGTTTCAGCGTCGAAATCGGCCCAAAAATACATATACCTATAACAATTTTTTTTTATATAAGATTTAAGTCGTTCACAGTTAGGTACTATTAGTATAATATGTTGAATTATCAATATCGATTCGAAATACATCAATTTTTTTATTTAAAACATATACACTTAATATATAAGTATTTTTACTTCTATTAAAATTAGATTAAATCCAATTAAAACCAATTTAAAAATAAAAATCATCATATCCGTATGTTTTGATTAATTAAAAAATACATAATGAACGTATACATTTTTTTTTTTAAATTATTATTTATAATAGCTTTATCAACCGGAACATAGTATAGTTTTTATTTTTGATATATTTAAATACATATATATATATATATATATATATATATATATATATATATATTATATTAGTGCGTTGCGAAACGACATTGTAAGCGTATATAATTTAACGACTGACTTTGATATATTTTTGTAGAACCGAAAATTAGTCCGGCCACGTTTTGCCATGTGTTCCCATTCCATCTGATGTTCGACAGAGACTTGAACGTCCTTCAAACCGGTTGCACGATCACCAGAGTAATACCCATGGTACAAGGGCCAGAACCATGCAAATTAACACAAATCTTATACCCCGTAGGTGTTAACACTCACACACACACACACAGACACCCAAGCATAATAAATAATAATTATTAATGTTGACTCGGTTGGGCGCAGGTAAGACCTCATTTGGAATTGACATTCGACAACATTCTAGCGCACATAAACACCGTGTACGTTCTGAACACAAAACCGGGAATTATGAACGGCGACTCCAACGACGGTTGTTCGATATCTCTGCGTCTCAAAGTAATGATAATCGATAGATCCAACTGTTCGGACACTTCGTATACTGAGTGCATGCGTCTAAAATATAAACTGTCGGTTTGAAAATAAATAATACCATGATTAATACGTCGGTTTGTTTTGCAGGGCCAGATGCTGTATGTGCCGGAAACGGATCTAATGTTGTTTTTGTGTTACCCGAGTGTCGTGAATCTGGACGATCTGACAAAGTTAATATACAAACACATTTATACCTAATAATAATATGTGCATAATATTTTGATTGGATGGCCTCGTGTTAGGTTAGGTTTGGGTAATTGAGCTATAAACTATTGACAGTGTTTGTTTTGTTTGTTCGTCCCAGACGGGGCCTGTACATCAGCGATATACCTTTGCACGATGCCACTAGGGATTTGGTGTTGATGTCAGAACAATTCGAAGCCGATTTCAAACTGACCATGGATTTGGAATTTTTAACCGACAAGCTCCAACAGACTTATAGGGAGCTGGAGAGCGAAAAACAAAAAACCGACAGGTAGTTCAATACACCTAATCCTCGAATTGAAAAAAAAACCCAGTTGTGTACCTTCGGCGATACGTGTTTGCTTAATAAATTGCATTGCAAAAATTAAAAGCAAACATAAAAAAAATGCATAAAATAAAAATATAGTTCATTCGATATCCTTTAATAATAAAGTCATTATGAAAATGTATCTAAATATTTCAGGCACGTACGTAGGTACAAAGTACAAACCATAATTATTAATAAAAAATATTATGTTTCCTAGAATATTTGGAAAGAAAATATGTTATTATAAAACTCGTAGTTATAAAGTTGTGGATTCGATGAGAGGCACTTATGTAGGTATGCTACGTGTCTAAAATATTTTTAATCGATCAATAAAATATTGACTGATAAAGTTGATAACAATTTGTTTACAGCGTGTATACAGTTTCAGTGATGCGAAAAAACTACAAATTTTAAAACGAAATGTCATAATTATTTATAAAAACAATTTTGGTTTACAGCGTTTTAAAGTAGTTATGGTATAAAAATATAATGAGATCCTTTTATACGTACCTGCAATATTGTATTTACAAAATGTTAATGCAAATTACACAATAATTTATTATAACTATTATCGACTTATGAAAAAAATTGCCTGATAATAATTGGGAATTAGATTTTACGGTGCTGTAATCTATATTAAAATAATTGAATGTTTTAGATTTTTTTACTTAGTTTTTCATTTAAATTCAAATATTTATCTCAATATATTTTGAAATAAATTCGTAAGATATAAAGTTTCAACAGAGCATTTAATTAGTTTTGTTTTATTATTATTTAAATAGTCCGATCGTAGAGGGTTGAAAGTAAAATATCAATACATTTTTCGGTAAGTTTTAACTTTTGATCGTAAGTACCTGTTAAACAATTTGTAGAATTTTAAAATTAATAAGATTCATTTGATGCAAATAATTAAATTGCCCTTACTAAAAATTCCAACTAAAAGTGATAAAAATATGCAGTATACTATAACTTTTATTTTAAATACTTAAATAATATATTGTTTGCTTACTTCTCCGACATTATTTCAATCTAATGGATTTTCTTTGATTATTTTTGTATTCTTTATTTATATTATAAATCTTTTTGATCACCAAAAACAATTTAAACTACCTACCTGTTTTATGAATAGTTATTTTATTTTATCTGTTTTTTTATACTTTTCACCACACATTCTTAATGGGTAAGTACCATTTAAATACAATTTGTAAGACTCCAACATAATAAAATATATTAGCTAGAACATTGGTGTCAAACGTACACGGCTCGTGTAATCGTGTCACACAAACGGTGAAACATTTCAAAATATATTTTTTATAGATTTCTGAACAAGCCGTTTTTAAATAATAATAAATATACTGATAATTTATTAAAAGTATGTATTTTTTAACCTTATAAAAAATATATACACCTATAACATCACTTTATACGTAGGTAGGTACCTGAGTGATTATGAAAACAGAGTTTGTCAGAACCTCTTTTAGCCGTAAAAATAATATTATACGTACCTACATATTAGTGTCGGTAGAATATTATACCAAAATCGAATTTAATCTGAATAATAGCACAAAAGCCACTGTTGTTAAATCTTTTTATTTCCCTTTCTCGGATTGCAATCTTTGGCTTGGCTCACAAAGCTCTTCTCGTCACAAATCGCCTCCATAGGCTACTTCATATTTTTATATGATATAGACACACACACACACACCACCTACATATCCAAATGGGCACTTTGACGCGGCTGCAGAGCACAAAACGAAATAAACATTCACAACCTCGTCTTAATAATGTTGGGATCTGTCGTATTTATATACTGAAATATAGTCACTTCTATAATATCAGAACGCTCAGAATTGTATGTTAAATAATCTTTTAAATTTCGACCGTTATCTATTAACGGTCATCGAAAATAAAAGGGGATTTCAGGAAACGGTCTGTGTACCGTTTTATATACTTGAAAATATTGACCGTAAATGAACCGATAGTTTAACCTAGAGCGAAATAAATATGTAAAATGTATCGTATTAACCCTGTTTTCTGGGTTATCGCGATAACCGTTTATATAATATTATATTATAATCCTATACCTACATAGTGAGTGTTTATTTCTAACAAATTTAATATTATTTTATTACGATATACTACCCTCGAGTGGAGTTGCGGTTTGCCTTGTAGCGGTGCAGGGTCTGCGGGTGAAGGAACTCGAAAATACCTATATAATATTATCATTATATACCTAAATATTATGATCTGCTCCGTATCGTAGGCTGCTGTACTCGGTGCTGCCGATCAGCGTGGCGACAGAGCTGCGGCACAAGCGACCGGTTCCGCCGAAAAGGTTCGAGTGCGTGACACTGCTGTTTTCCGGCATAGTCGGCTTCAGCGACTATTGTGCCGGTCACGCGGACTCGAAAGGCGCCATGAAAATCGTCAGGATGCTCAACCAGCTCTACACGGCTTTCGACGTGCTCACCGACCCGAAGAAAAACCCAAACGTCTACAAGGTATGTATTATAATACTACCTATTTCGCATATACAGCTGCTGCGGTACTTAATGATAATATTATTATGAGAACGAAAATAGAGAAAATATTCACAGCGGCTTTTACCCATATATCCAACTATAGAATATACCCTCCTATCGCGGCCCCGCCACTTGTTGTTGTTGCCTGGAGGCAGAAATCATATTGTGTCCTATAAACGTCCTGCAGCAGCGTATCTGTATCCGGTCCGATACGATAATAGTTTTACGCTTTTTCTCGCGATGCACATATCCGATCGATGTCAAATCTGAATTTACTTCCGACCGGAAATCGCGTGCACGTCCCGTCCACGTACGTACAGGGAGATTCTATTCTATTATAATAATATTATAATATTAGAAGCCATAATAATATCCGTTTATTTTGGTATTTGGAATTTTCAACCGTGTACTTCAAGACCATAACATTTTCAATATAAATTATAATAATCAGATTCGAAATTATATTATATTCGTAACGGATTTCTGAGCAATTTGTGAGATGTATTCCAAAGATTTGAATTCGAAAACGTATTAATACTATGGGATATACAAGGACGGACTTGGTGGGGGGTGAACATGCTCGCGGATGAACCACCCTGTATGTTATATAAGATGTCGCGCGTTGTATCATCGTGTATAATTTTGCGAAACGGTCATCAACTCCGGAAACGCGTATTTGTTGGTATAAAATATTATTATGTATAATCTGCAATGGTGTACGAAATCGTCGCGGATTCGATCGATCGAAAATCTGTATCGGAAACACGTCGAACGGATCCCGACGATAGGTATTATTATTATTATTATTACCGTAATTCACGATGTATGACGAAGAGCGAATAATTCGAGTGGCAGTGCGTCTGCGATACGGTCGGCTTGCCGCGGACAAAAACAAAACACAAATTGCCGCTAAAAATTGCATTTCGTAGAATATTATATTTCTTGTTTACATTAAAGGTAAATGCAATAAATGCATTCGATCTCGGTTGAAATTCGGGGAAGATGATATAATATTAAATATATGGCAGGTCGGAAGTCGATGACGGCCCGCGTGGCGCACACAGATAAAATATGAAATAGGTAAATTCTGAAACGAATAATAATATAGCCAGGCTATAGTAAATAATAAAAAGAAAAAAAGATCAAATCTAAAAAGTGTATAATGGACATTAACATTTCTCTTTTTAAGAGTAAAGAAAAACCTCGTGAAAGTTTTTCAAAACCATCCGTTTTTTTGTAAACAGAAGTTTCGTGCCGTGTGGTATTAGACTGATGGTGAACCTTATAGATAATGTATATTGTACACAGTAAATAAACTTTTTAAAAGACAAGATCTGTATTTACTTGCCTAATGACAAACAATTGTAAAAAAAAAGAATTTTATTCAAATACGTGAAATAAACTTACGACTTAATATAATATGTCGGAGAAAAAATATATTTTACATAGACGAATGAATTCCGTGTTATCGAGAAGTTTTAGCAAAAGTGCAATAATGTCATGCATTTGATATATGTTTACTTTTACAACAATCTAAAATACACTATTATTCTTGCTCCTCGTGGAATATTTTATAAATTAATTCGGAACAATCAATAATTTAATAATCTTCAATGATTATTAAATATTAAAATATATCACTTAACTAAATTAGTTAAGTACATTCTAAACAAAAAACATTGAAGAAAATATCTTTTTTTCTGTTATATAATAAGAATAATTCAAGTGTCAACGTCAATAATTATTTAATAATCTTCAATGATTATTAAATATTAAAATATATCACTTAAATAAATTAGTTAAGTAGGTACATTCTAAACAAAAAACATTGAAGAAAATATCTTTTTTTCTGTTATATAATAAGAATAATTCAAGTGTCAACGTCTAAAATACTAGGGGAAAATAAACGTTTGTTTCTACAATTTTACGAGAGAAATAAATAAATAATATTTTCAATGAATTTCATAAAATTATCATCAATTTCTTTAAAAAAAACTTTTAAAAAGAAATACAATTTTTTATTTTAAATGTCTCTCTTTATTTCAGGAAATATATATGTTTAAAATTAGTTCGAAAACAAAATGTAAAAGTTAGTTACAACTTTCAATATAGTTTTCGTATGATACCCGGATATAAAAATGAAACTTTTTACTCTTTAGTCTTCAATCTTTAAAAACTTTCAACATCATAGACATTTTGGTAATGGCGTATAGCTTAATAATTATTTTAAACAATTTTGTTTGATAAAACAATTGGTACCTATAAATTACCGTATTGAACTTAATTTACGTAAATTGTGTAAAATTCGTTTTATTATGTAGTTAGTCTATTTCTTACGATTTACGCTGGCTTTAATGTATATTTTTATTGTTATTTATAAAAAAAAAAATACAAAATATTACTCCTCTCGGTCATAAGAAGCCGGTATAATGATTTAGGTACCTATAATAACTGCGGAGTAATATTCATATTATATTTGACAAGTATAAAAAAAAGTTTTACTTTAAATGGTTTTAAGAATTCGGGACAAATAAAATTATAGCTGTCCACGTAAGAATAAATAGGCGCTATAATAGGTACATATAGATTTCGAAAAATTTATATTTTCAAAAACATACATTTTCATAGTGAGAAAGCTAAAATCTGAGAGGACGCGCCATACTAGAAGAAATCAACAAAAGACAATATAATAATGAAAATTTATATTAGCTCCAGAAACCGATAGTGGATTAGGTTATCTTATTATATTATAATATTGTATCATAGGTCAAATGTACTTAATAAATGAATTATATCGGCATGCATGAAAAATTAATTAATTTAATGGTTCAATAAATCATATTTAAAGGACCATATTAGCTCACTGTTGATTCATTTGATAAGATAAAATAAATATTTAGTGATTGTTCTTGCAACCCGGCATCAATCCATCAGAACATCTATATAATTATTATATTCTTGTATACAGGTGGAGACTGTCGGCGACAAGTACATGGCGGTAAGCGGACTTCCTGAACCTTGCGAAGAGCATGTCCGGTGCATTGCTCGGCTGGCTTTGGATATGATGGACCTCAGTCATACGGTCGTAGTGGACGGTGTGCCCGTTGTAAGTATACTCTGTAGAAGTATCTCCGGATCGTGTACAATGCTCGTGATGATGATATATACAGAGTGATTCAGTTATTTCAAAATAAAACCCACTTTTTTATAGAAAATTATATTTAAGTAAACAATTTTTTTTAAGATGTTGATGTGCCTACTCGATTCAAAATTTGAAAGATAAGTTTCTCAATTATTATTATTATACCAAGAATAATAGCGTTTAAAAATAGTTTTACAAAAAAGAAAAATAGATATAATATTGGATCCATAGTATTTAATATACATGGACCATTTTTACAAATATAATAACCGTTGGTAAATTAATATCAACCATCAACATTTTCAAATCCCCTTATTTTGTTGTATTCCAAACCCATTATCTTGAACCCATAATTATTCTCAGTACACAAAGTTAAATAACTCAAAAGTTCAAATTTCGTCAACATATTTAGAAAATGATCTGCTTTATAATACATTTACAGTAGAAAGGGGGGAGGCCATCCTCATTTGAAAAACAGAAGTTTGTATCTCCACGGGATACTTTGTAAGTATTACCAAAATATATCGAACATTTGAAAATATGGTCTTTAACTATATTTGAAAATCTAAAAATCGGATCTTGAATAACTGCATAATGTAATATAATATAGATAATATTATATTGAAGAAAAATAATGGACGAGCATGCTTGGTGAACCTAAGCTGGTGTAGATTATAACGCCTGTTATATATCTCTATTATTTAATATACATATTATATTATTTTATTTTAATCTTAAACAAAATTTTTCAGCGCCTAACCATAGGCATACACAGCGGCGAAGTGGTAACCGGAGTGATTGGTCACCGGATGCCCCGGTATTGTTTATTCGGTAACACAGTAAACCTAACCAGCAGGACCGAAACCACGGGCATACCGGGAAAAATCAACGTCTCAGAAAACGCATACAAGTAAGAACAACGATACATATTGATTAATATGTACCTAAAATTATTATTATTATTATTATTATTATTATTATTTCTGGTACTTATGATATCATTGTTGTTCGTATAATGCATGATATCGTATGATATATCAAGGTAAATTCATGGGCTCATAACTAAAAGGTTATAAATCAATTTTTTATGTATAGGTATAAGTTAAGTTATTAATTCTCTACAATCAAGCTCACGAACAACCATTTAGGGGAAATATTTGATATAAAATAGTTATCGAAAACTAAAAAGTTTAAAATCAACACAATTACTTAACTATTATTGGCTATATACAATATACGTCTTACCTATTTTATAGTGATCTATAATATGTCTAATAGCTTTCGGTTCTTAATCTTAAGTATTAAAACACATAGGTTGTTTTTACTAGATAAAATAATAATAATAATTTATTGAAGATAACCAAACAGTAATACTTTATCTGCAATAATTTTGTCAACTGTGCAATAGTTATAAGATGTTATAAAATATTATAAATTATTGTACCAAGAAAATAAATAATTCTGTAAATAGGTAATCAATTTATTTTGGAATTGAAATCATGAAACATCCTCTTCTGTTTAACCGATTATTGTTTCTCTGGGCAAAATTCTTTTAATTCCTTCACAACCAAAATGTTCAATCTATAGAATTTAATTCGACAATCATAAAAAAAAATAATTTATTATGAAAGAAGATACTACAGTTTGAAGCTAAAAATTGCTCTCCTGAACAATTTGATATTATGAGATAGCACCTTTTAGTTCTGAGCCCATGGACTCTATAAACAATTATATAATAAGTGTTTGTATATAATATTGTTTCCCATAAATCCGGATTTTATGAAGCGGAATACGCAGTGAGTTGCTTGATAAAATATAATATAACTTACTTTCGAGTGTTATAATAATATTATAATACGAGTAGGTACCTACCAGCTAGTGTATTATACAGGGTGTATCTTATGTCATTGTACGCGGGGTTTTTTGACGATTACGGAACGATGATATGGAATTTCGTTAAAACGAAAAAAGACGTGTTTCTTTATTTTTAACAAGCAATTTTTTTATAACAATTTCAAAATTTTTAAACACACAGGTGTACCAATAGCAAAATCAACTTTTTTTTTCAAATGGTAACCACTATATTTTTTAATGGATTCTTATAAAGCTTTTTTTTTCTGAACATTTTGGTAGTCGAATCGTCAAATTTGGTTCGCTAGTTTATTAACTATGGTCCTCCAAAGATTAGTAAAATATGCATTAATGCTTTTAATTAAAATAATGGGTATAGGTTTAATTTACAAGCGCTAAACAATTTTTTCTTATAACTACCATTTGATACACTACAATAGTTGAATCGGTAATCTAATGACTCCCTCAAAAAAATAAAAAATAAAAAATAACAAACACAATTGTTTGTAAACATACTATTCATTAATTTTATTTTAACATACGATCATAAAAATCAATATTATTATTTTAATATCCAAAACTAATAGGGATGGAAAGGGATGAATTACAACTCCTAAGTTCATATTTTGGATGCGATACCATTATAGGGAATTTATGGTTAAAATATCAAGTTTATACTTTATACCACTACGAAAAGAGCACCACAAAACATTGCACTTTTTTCGTTGCACATATTAATGTAAACAATCGAATAACATTTACCAATTTACCATTATTACCTTAGCCACCTACCTAATTAAGAATTCAAATTTATGATATTGTAAGAAAAATAACTGTGATGAAAAAAATGTAAAGTAATTAATTACGATTATAATAATAAATTAAAATAATAATATTGATTTTTATGATCGTATGTTAAAATAAAATTAATGAATAGTATGTTTACAAACAATTGTGTTTGTTATTTTTTATTTTTTATTTTTTTGAGGGTGTCATTAGATTACCGATTCAACTATTGTAGTGTATCAAATGGTAGTTATAAGAAAAAATTGTTTAGCGCTTGTAAATTAAACCTATACCCATTATTTTAATTAAAAGTATTAATGCATATTTTACTAATCTTTGGAGGACCATAGTTAATAAACTAGCGAACCAAATTTGACGATTCGACTACCAAAATGTTCAGAAAAAAAAGCTTTATAAGAATCCATTAAAAAATATAGTGGTTACCATTTGAAAAAAAAAGTTGATTTTGCTATTGGTACACCTGTGTGTTTAAAAATTTTGAAATTGTTATAAAAAAATTGCTTGTTAAAAATAAAGAAACACGTCTTTTTTCGTTTTAACGAAATTCCATATCATCGTTCCGTAATCGTCAAAAAACCCCGCGTACAATGACATAAGATACACCCTGTATATTGTTGCACGTATAACAACATAATATTATTATCATCAAAATTTAAATAAAAATCAATGAAGTTTTTATTTGAACAGAACGTCGCGATGAATAAAAGATTACTATAGACGATTATTAAACTTCTCACTAATCGAAGGAACGCATAAGATATGTAATAATTATATAATTTTATTAGAGTGGCGTAAGGAGGTTATGTTACTTGTAATATAAAAATAACAATGTGTCAACTACTATTATAGAGTTGAGACGAATTATTTTAATTTAAAAAAAAATACATTTAAAACGTAGAATCGTAATTTAATAATATCAAGTATCGTACTATGATATTAAAAAAAAACCTAATCTTAATGTCCATTCGAAATTATAAAATTATTAACTCATATTTTATTACATCATTATATTTTAGTTATCAAAACATAATATCTCCTTGTGAGTATTAAATACATTGATGATACTACTACATAAGTACATAATATCATAGTTAGGAATATAACATACTTATATAAACGAATAATGATCGCAGTAACGAGCTTTAATTTATGCGTTATAATAGCGTATGCATACTTAGCACAATTAGTTGATATAATGGTTTCAATTTTATTACTCAACTCTTATTTTTAATTAACACCGTTTCAAAAATATCCAGAAACATTATTTTATTACAACATTAAAATTAATATCGCATGATAAGACAACGTTTCTCAAATGCTTTATTGTTTTTTGGTTACATGCATTTTAAATAATATTCAGATGTTTCCCAAAAACAACGTTAACCGAAAAAATTGAATACTTAGGTATTGTAATACTTAGGTACCTGCTAGTACATACACTCTTTTAACCAGACTGTGAACGTTACGTTATGGTTTATAAACAATATATATTAAGTACGTATTAAGTTATACGACGACGACGACGACGAAATATAATATGACAAATGACAATTAAATAACGTTAAACGAATTTATAAACACTATGCATAATAATATAGGACAACAATAAGACCGAGCGTATCTCTCATCCACGAACAACGGCTCATTAATAAAATATTTTCTTTAATATTTTTATTATATTGTTCGCCATTGGCTAACATTGACAAAAGACGAGGGAATTGATAAATTATTATTATGTCTGAAGAATAATAAATTTTTTTCCTGCTTAGAGCTGGGTCGGACTGCACTTTTTATTTCGATTTACCGGCTTCGTATTAATTCGATTTCGTTCAGCCGACTTCACGGTCGTTTAACTTCGCGGCGGCAAACAAAGAAAATTGTCACCCTGCGTGTGCGCCGCCGCCGTCGTCGTTTCGATACCGAATTGCTCTAATGCGAAATAAACGAAAAAATAAATAAATCGCATAATAATTGGTCACGGAGGCGTCGTCGTGTCTATATATTATGATTACAGACAGGCAAGTTACCTCCCATAGGTACGATTAGATAACTAGGTGGCGTCACGAAATGCAGAGGAGACGGCGTGACGCGTAACGCACGTCCACGCAACGACAAAAAAACCTACGTCACGAGATCGTATTATTTTCGGCCAAAACGTTGAGGGTTAGAAGTGAATAATATTATAATATTTCGAATGGAAAAAAGTTGCAACCTGCGAGGTGACGTTTGACAACTACCGTACAGGTCTACAGCCCCGTTCGCATCGTCCGATTTCTGCTATTGCTCGCTGTAGTTGTCCGTCTTGCCCGCTACTATATCATTATTATTCATCGTGTCACGTATTATACCCACCCGCCCAACACAACCCACACGTTTCACGTCCGAAACTGTACCTATCAGCGGTGTCTCGTCCCGTGCGCGTTCCATCATCGTTTTTCATTTTTCCTCCTGGCAGCACCGATGTAATGCGTACAGCCGTATACCAGCTACGGTTCAAATGGTTAGGGTAGGTATGCATCATTCCACTCGAATCGTAACAAGTTTCTAAGTTTTCTAACGTCGTATATGATGTGATCATGAGGATCGCGAGTGCATCAGCTGAGTGCCGATCGGCCGACTCGAAGAATTCCGTTTGAAGTTATTCTTACATACCTAATAATATTATAGGTACTATTTTCTTGGCAAAAATTGATTTAGTTTTAGATTCTAAGAGGAGCGATGAATGTATTGATTTTACAATGATGTATGTTTTCTTAATTTTTTCGTTTATTGTTTTATTAATATAATGATCATTCCATAAATTCGTATTCTTTCACATTTTTCGGGCTGCGTCTAATTTCGTACATGTTGTTGGCATCCGCAGAACGATTTTTAAAATGTAAAAAGGTACCTTTTAGTATATAATAAATTTATAATAGATTGAGTATATGATATATATATATTACTATATTAGTTACGACTTACGGGCAATGCTTGGGCTCAAAAGATGCTATCTCAAAATATCAAATTGTTCACTAGAATCATTTTAAACTATTTTAAAATTAAAAATCTCTTATCTTTTTTCGTTGTTAATTAATAATTTTGAACGATTTTCACATCTAAAAATTAACTATATTGTTCTGCGTTAGGTACCTTTCGCAATTTGTTTTTATATAAAGCAAAACTTAATGTAAGAAATGCAAAAATGTGAACAATTTCCGATAAGAACCAAACATTTCTTCAGATAGAACCCATTTTTTTCGCTTAGCTATAACTT